AAACGAAATTGAAAATGTGATTTTTAATAACAATTAATTTTTCTTAATGAAAATTTTACTTGGGGAATTTGTCGCTTTGACTTTTAAGTGTATTCAAGTAGGTTTCGATTTTGTCGTGACAAATTAGAATTGATAAATATGGATTAATCAAATTTTAAGACGAAAACGAAATTGAAAATGTGATTTTTATTAACAATTAATATTTTTTAATGAAAATTTTAATTGGGGAATTTGTCGCTTTGACTTTTAAGTGTATTCAAGTAGGTTTCGATTTTGTCGTGACAAATTAGAATTGATAAATATTGATTAAACAAATTTTAAGTCGAAAACGAAATTGAAAATGTGATTTTTATTAACAATTAATCTTTTATAATGAAAATTTTACTTGGGGAATTTGTCGCTTTGACTATTAAGATCATTTCATTTGGTTTCGATTTTGTCGTGACAAATTAAAATTGATAAATACTGTTTTAAAAAAGTTAACGTCAAAAATGAAGTAAAAAATTGATTTTTAATAACAATTAACATTTTTAATGAAAGTTTTGTAGTTAGTTATATGTAAGTGAAATGAGGTAATGAAATTAATTTTTTTTAAGAATATTTTTTTTTGCTTGAGTAGTTCTTCGTATGAGTAGTTGATTAATTTTTTTTTATAATTTATGATTACGTATTTTCTCTTGCATAGATTTTAAATTCTTATGAAATAATTTAATTTAGTTTAATGTAAAATTTAACAAATAAGTTTTTCTTTTTCTATATGAATTACATTTTTTTTACTGTACTTATGTGATTCATCTGCAGTTGTTTAATTTACATTCATTTACAGTTCGTATAAAAATTTTTTTCTTAATTTTATTTTTAAATTTAAAAAAATTTTTTTTTGAAATTAAAAAATTTTTTTTTTTTAATTTTTTTAATTAATTTTTTGGGTTTTTGGAAAATGAATTATTTGGTCTTGTTACGGCAAAAAAACGGCAAATTTCTGTCAAGAAGAATTTTGTGAATCTTTGTAAACAACGGAGTTAGAATGGGTGCTTCGCTAACTTTATGTAAACTTAGCAAAGCACCCTATTTTAAAAAAAATTGAAGAGCGACAAAATTTTTTTTTTCACAACTAATTAGCGACTAAAAAGCGGCAAATTTTGGTCTATATAAGACTTTTGGTTTTTGAAGTTGTTTCGCTAAGTTTATGTACGTCCATTTTAGGGCAGTAGTATATATAAACATAATAAAAAAAAATAGTAAAAATAATTTATCAAACAGTATAAAAAGGAGTATTTCTTCTTCCAACAAGGTCGAATTCCTCTCTAATGACTCAACTTTTAAAATCTTGGAATTTATTATTATTATTATTGAAAAATATTATTTTTTTTTTATACAAAACTAACTTCTTTTAAACTAACCTAAAAACTAAAAAAAAATAGAGAGAACAAATATATATATATATATATTGTACTTTTACAAGATTTTAAGCAGATCTTTCTTATTCTTGTGAAACTCGACAAACTTTTCACCGTGCTCTCTAAAAAGAATTAACGAGTTCGCGGTACTGACAGTTGTTTTTGTTATTCGCTAGAAGAATGAGAGACAATAGAGTATATATATATATATATTTAAAGAAAAAAGAATTTCATCATGGTACATTGAGTATTAGACTGCCTATATACATATGAATTATTGTTTCTCAAAAACATATATTATAATTTTTATATATATCAGAGGAATAAACTTTTTATTGAAAATTTTTATTCTCAATTCTCTTATATTTTTTTTATTTTTATATTTTACAGGACTTGGATTGAGATACATGAACCCTATCTAGAAATTGACATAGTTCACTACTGGCACAGTACTGGTATACCAATATCACGCCGGTACTGCGCAAGTAGTCAATTATTTGTAAGGGAAGAAGTTCAAAAATTAACGAAGCAAAAGTGGGCAACGTTTATGATAAACGATTTTTAAAGAAATAATTTTTTAAAATGAAAAATTCTATAATTTTTTGCCTAAAAAATATTTCTTGTAAATTAAATAAATTTCATTAATCAACAAATTATAAAAACATATTTTTTAAGCAAAAAATTATAGAATTTTTCATTTAAAAAAATTATTTCTTTAAAAATCGTTTATCATAAACGTTGTGTACTTCAGCTTCGTAAAAATTAAATTGTTAGAATTTTTATTTAGAAGAATTAATAATAATAATAATAATAATAATAATAATAATAATAATATTTAATTATTCTGAATCAATTTATTTTTAGCCGAATTTGTATTACATTGAGTTTGACAGAATACTTGATTAAAAAAAATTTTTTTTACTGAAAGAATATATAGTAGAATGAATATTGTTATCTAGACAAATTTCCATTTGTTTGAATTTCTTAAAACGACGAATTTTTATTTTACAGAACTTTCATTTGTTCAAATAAATGTCAAAAAAATTTGTGCTCTAATTTTAAATTAAAACAATCAGAAGTTATCAACGAAATTATTATTAATTATTCGAACAAATGAAAATTCGACGTTTTAAGAAATTTTGGCAAATGTAAATTCTTGTGGAAAAAAATTTTTTTCTAATATTCCTTCTGTAAAATCGATTTTTTCAATGCAAATATTAGCGCCTTTACTATATATAAATTTATTGTCGCCTTCATGTTACAGAAAAGATAGGGTCACCTTTTTTGCGTTTTTGTTTAATCATTTTATTTTTTTGTTCTTTAAACTATTTCTTTTTTATTTTTTACATTAACTAATCTTTTCTTGTTATTACTGTATTTCCTTTTTTTTACAAATTATGTTTTTTTTATTTTTTCTTAAATCAATAAATTTTATTGTAAACACATATAGTGCCAATAAGAAATGAAAAAATTCAATTTTTTAAATACTTTTAATAAATTTAATTAGTTAATAAATATTTTATTATTTATAATTATTTTCTTATAAATTATTACTTAAATATTTCTTTTTAAATCTTATGAAAAATTATCCAAATTGAGAATTTTGATAAAATTTTGAATTTGAATGGTAAAAAAAATTTCATTTTACTTTGAAAAATTTTATTCTAATTAAATTTACTTATTTATTAGAATTTAAAAATAAATCGATTAGTCTCTTTTTTTCTTATAATATAAAAGTCGAAATATCATTTTATTTATTTTCACCCTTTTTTTTATTAATTATTTTTATTTATAATTTTTAAAAGAAAATAATTATTATTATTATTTATGTTTTGATTGAAAAAAAAAAATTAGACTTTTTTGATTTTAAAGAGGAGAAAAAAATTTCCAAATTTTTTTCTTTTTATATTTTTTTTGTTTTGAAATGTTAATTTATTATCGTAAAAACATATATTTGTAACTGTTTTGTATCAATAGAATATATTAGATACTTCTCTCAGTTTAAAGAAATATGAATAAAAAAAAAAAAAAATTATACACACAAGAACCATGTAGACATATATATATATACTGTGTATAGAATACAGTTGAAAAAGAGAAAGGCAATAATTGGATAAATATTACTGTCTATAAAATTATAATAATTCAATTAAATGGACATGAGAGTTTATTTTGAAGAGGGACATTTTTTAAAATCCTATTTTTATTCAAAAATTTCGTTATATTCTTGTTAAACAGAAGTAACTGCATAATAGTAATTATTATTATTATTATTATTATTTATTACTATTATTAATATTAATTATTATTTAATTTACTGAAAAAAATTTTTAAAAATTAAAAAAATTTTTAAAATTTAAAAAAAAATTTTTTTTTTTTTTTAATTAAAAGTTAATTAGTATTTTTAATTATGAACTATGGTACTAATAATGAATGATAAAATATAAAGAAATATATTTACGAAAAGAGAAAACATCTGTATCAAAATACGAAATATGTAATGAAAACAAAGTCTATGAAAAACAAACAATAACAAACTTGTTTTTATTATATACACGGAAACTTATTTTTCTCAAAATTTTCATTTAAATAAACAACAAATTAAAAAATAATTATAATAATGTTTAATTCATATTTAAAAAAAAGACCTCAATTAGAACTCTTTAATTGCTCTTTTTCCATTTCTTTTATGTACATATGTTTAATTAAATACATTACACTTTCTCTAAAGATCAACAATCACATGAAAACTATTATCATTAATATATATAGAAAAAAAAAATTAAAAACAATAAAATATATAATAATTCTTATATTTAATTTAACAAATGTAATAAATAATATTAATAATAATAATAATAACCTAAAAAAAAATTTGCTAATTCTGACCTTGGTTTTAAGTTGGTAAAAAAAAGTAATGCCAATATAATCAGCGATTATTGAATGGAAATTGCGCACACGTGACCTACCATAATCCCAAGATTTGAACTTGCACGCGGGAAATGTGTCAAATTCATGAGAGAGAGCGAGAGAGATAGAGAATGTGCGCGGCGGTCACAATATATATATATATAGGAGAAAGTTTTTTAATCGAGTTTGAACACATCAAAAGAAATGGTTTCAATGCCGTGTGTACGTCATTGTCACATACATACATATATACGCCTACGCATACTAAGCATTCAGCTGCGCGAGAAAAAGGACGAGGGAGCCAAAACAAAATAGAAATCAAGTCGACACGCACATTAATTAACGTGCAGTGGTTTTAAGCATGGGAAGAAGGAAACGAGAAAAAGAACAAGAGAGAAAGAGAGAGAGAAAGACAGAAGACGAAGAAGAAGAGAAGCAGAAAATCGAACATTCTGCGACTGGAATTTTAAAGATTATATTCACTATAACACGAAGAAAACACATCTTTAGTAATCAAAACAAACCACTGTCAAAACTTTTGCACATGGCCTATATAACTTCCGGATTGAAATTTAAATACCCGATTGTTTTTTTTTTAAATTATTCTTATTTATATAATATAATTGAAAAAATTATTCTCAATATAAAAAAAAATATATGTATTAGAAAATATCCTGGAATTATCATTACCTTACCATCGCCTGACCCACAAATCAAAGCACACACACTAGTATAAAATTCCACACACACACTTGTAAAAGCCAGTGCCAAGGTTCATGAAAAGAAAGCACCACTATTTGAATTAAAGACACACTGTCAAGTTTTTTCGTTATTTTGAAGAGATGAAAAAACACTCGCGTAGTAAAATTCCAAGAATCGTGGCATGTATTATACGTTGAATTGAAGTTTGGCAGCTGTCACTCAACCGTTTGCCTCGGAAAGAAAACAGCACACACAGAGAGAGAGTGGTGGCGTAGCGGAAAAAGACACTAGGGGGCACAACGTGATGGCGATACTTGCTTCGGTGGTGCAAAGCGATTTTGTTGTGGATTCTTCCTTCGTTGCCTTTGCTCGCTCTCTTGTTCTCGCGCTCTCTCTCTCTCTCTTTTTCTCTTTCTCTTTCCCGGTTTTCCACTTCTCCCGCGCCGCCGACTGCGCTGCGCCCCCCCACCCTATTTAAACCCCTTCTACCACCCGCGCAGACTATATACACACCGGCGAAAGACGTCAGGGCCGTAGGTAGAAAAATTATACACTTTGAGTTTAATTTTCCAATTTTTTTTTTGTTATTATTTTTTTAATTTTATTATTGTTTTAGATATATATTAATTTTAAATTGTTAAAAATAAAAATTGATATTATATTATAATTTAAAAAAACAAGTTATTGAAATATTACTCTTTATTAAACTTTTTTTTTATGATTATACTAGCAAAATTAAACGCGCGCCTAATTGGGTATTTAATTGTTTGTTATAAAGAAATTAAAGATTAATATTATCAATAATAATTTAATTTATTAGAATATTATTACATATTAAATAATAATAATGAAAATTATAATACAGGCCTCGGATTATACGACTTTTTCCGACTTTTTTCAAAAATACGACTTTTATCGACTTCTTTTAATAAAATGCGACATTTTTTTTAGATTTGAAAAAAAATGTAAATAAAATACATATTTTCAGTAAAAAATGTAGATCTTCTTCAATTCAATTATTTAACAAATTTTGAACTAAAATGATTTTTCACTAAATTAATTATTTTTAATAATTTTAATGAAATACATCACAAATTCAATTATATCAAAATTATTTTTCAATTAAAATTTTTATGAAATTTAACAATTGTTTATAATTTAAAAAAAAATATCACAATAAAATTGAATTAATTTTTAAATATTTTTAATTCAAAATAAACTAAAATTCAATTATTACCCGAAATTTTAATTCAAAATCAATTAAAAATCCAATAATTATCCAAAATTTTCAATTTAAAATTTACTTATTTATCAAGTTTTAAATTTGAAATGAAATAAAATTCAATTATTTTCTAAAATTTCTATTCAAAATTAATTATCCAAATTTTCAATTAAAAATTGAACTTAAATTCAATTATTATCCAAAATTTCAATTAAAATTCAATTATTTCCCAAAATTTTCAATTCAAAATGGACTGAAATTCAATTATTTTAAAAATTTTTAATTTAAAATCAATAAAAATTCAATTATTTTTTAAAATTTGAATTGAAATTCAATTATTTTCAAAATTTGCAATTCAAAATCAACTAAAATTCAATTATTTTCCAAATTTTCAATTCAAAATCTACTAAAATTCAATAAATAATTTTCGAAAATTTCGATTCAAAATCAACTAAAATTCAATTATTTTCCAAATTTTTAATTCAATAATTTTCGAAAATTTCAATTCAAAATCAACTAAAATTCAACTAAAGTACAATTATTTTCCAAAATTTAAACTGAAATTTAATTATTTTCCAAATTTTGAATTCAAAATTAATTGAATTTGCAATAATTTGAATTTAAAAGCATCTAAAATTTAATTATTTCTACAATTTTCCATCGAAATTTTTTTTTCTGAAATTTAATAATTTCAATTATAACTCTAAGGAAATTCAATTATTATTTGAACTATTTTATTAATATTCTTTGAAAATTCAACTATCTAAAACCATTTTTCAATTAAAAATGATTTTCAAATTATTGTATTTTGTCCGCATTTTCTAATAAATTTTTAGTGAAAATCTTTGAAAATTCAATTAAATTTAAAAAATGTTTTCCAAAAATTGTTTGATAAATTATTTTTAGTTCTGTAAAATTTAATAATTGTTTGAAAATTAACAATATCTTTTGAAATTTAATTATTTCTAAAAACTTCAACTTTAACCCTTCGAAAAGGATTATTATTAAAAAAAAAAAAAAATTTTTATTTAAAAATCTGTAAAATATTTTTGTTAAAATGAAAAAACAAATCCACTTTTTTTTGGAATATAAATCGACTAAAACGACTTTTTTGTGTCTTTAAGTTAATTCGAGGCCTGCATTTTTATAATTAATATTTAATAGGTATTCGTTGGCCCCTGGTACCTTAAAAATAAATTTTTTTCAAATTACTATCTTGTACGAAATTTCCTGGCGCATCTTTTTTCTCATCATAAATTTTTTGTATTTGTATACAATTTTTGAATCAATATACAACTTTAAAAAAATTTTCGTTGGTAAACGTTGTGTACTTCAGCTTCGTGAATTGAATTTTCAAATTTGGAATTTTAATGAAACTTATTCCGAAATTTGGAAACACAATTATACAACTTTGGCAAAAATGAGAAAAAGAATTGTCAAAATTTGACACGTCATAAGATTACTATTCAAAAAACACAAGAAATCAGAAAAGGCCAACTTCAAGTTAGGACAGAAGGACAGACCAAGCATTTTATTATTATATAATAATTAAATAAAAATTTATATTCTTAAAAAAAATTAAGAAATTAATATTTTTCAAATTTTCATTCAATATTTTTTTTTTTTTTTTTGTTAATATATTTTACTTAAGGGCAAGTCAAAGTCGATGCGATTTTTCCCATTGAAGCTCTATGTAAAAATTGATTCGACTTTGACCTACCCTTAATGCATTGTTTATGTTTATTTAAATATATTCCATTTAATGTAAACTCTATAGTAGTGCAAATAATGCTTTTCTTACGGCTGTATTTTTTTATAAAAATAAAAAAAAATACAAAATATATACTATATTAAAATAAATATAAATTCAAAATAATATTAACATATATTATTATTATTATTATTATTATTATTATTATTATTATATTCTAATTAAAAAATTTAAAAAAATTATTAAAATATTTCTACAATTATTTTGAAATCAAATTTTTTTATTAAAAAACAATACATTAATTGTAAAAATATAAAATAACAACTAAAAGTGTTATTAATATTTGCACTATAACATAAAAAATTTGAAAATAAAAAAAAAGTTTCGAAATATTTTTTTTTGAAAATATTTTTTTTTTTTTAGTAAAAATAAATTGTGTTTGAAAAAGAATTTGAAAAATATTCCAATAGGTTGGTGTTTCTTTTTTTTTGAAAAAAATGAGAGATTGAGAAACGCGAGTTGAGGAAAGGGGTAAAAAATTCTAGTGAGCCGTCACTTTATCCCGGGACACTTCAATTACTTCGGTTCTTAAACGTAGTTTAATATAATAGTAACAAAATTTTGATGCAAGTATTAATTTTTTGACAATTATAATTTTTTTTTTATTTTTTTATTAAAAACATAACCTATAATTATGTCATGATAATATATTTTATTTTAATAAAAAAATTACCAAGTAGATATTAATTTTTATTATAATTTATTTTTTTTATTTTGTTAATAAAAAGTGAAATATTAATTTGTTTATTTCTTTTCATTAAATAAGATTCCATTGCTATATAGTTAATTAAACTTTTGTTTGAATCAACTAAAAATTTATTGGACGCAATCAAATTCTTTCTTGGTTCGAAAAAATTATTATTAATAAATATTTTTATTATTATTATTAATATTATTATTATTATTATTAATATTATTATTATTATTATTATTATTAAATAAATATTTATTTTAATTAAAAAAAAATTTTTTGGTTGAAATAAAAAATTGTGTTAATACAAAAAAATGGAATATTTGGTAAAAAATAAATTTTTCTCTATACATATAATCTTAATTAAAAAGCAGCACTGTATGTTGTTTCGGTTCCAAAGGTCCAGAGTTCGATTCTCCATGCGTTTCAAATTGTTATACCATTTTTATATTTACATAGATTATTGAAAAAAAAAATTATTTTCTATTTAAAATAAAAGAAAAAAAGAGAAAAATTTCCAAATGGGTCAAAACTGAAAAATATGTATAATTAAAAAAAATGAAAATATTTGTTAATAAAAGTAAATTTATCCCTGTATATTAGGCAACCAAAGTTACACAAGAGTAGATAACGTTGACCTCCTGAAGAGTAGGCAACCCAACATACAACTCTGAATAATTTACCACGTCTGTCATTGATGTAACAGATTTTAAACAATTTTATTTGATATTATTTTTTTAGACAAATTTTTATTGTTCGAATTAGCATTTGACACAATTTTTATTTTAAACTAATTTTTACTTAACTAAAATTTTTAGGTGACGAATTTTTATTTTTACAGAATTTCACTTTACCAACTTTTTAATTAAAAAAAATTCTAATTTAACCAAATAATAATTTAGCAGAATTTTCATTTAACGGAATTTTTAGTTTTTTGAATTTCTAAATGCCAGAATTTACAATTCATCGGATCTTCATTTGTCCGAATTTTTATTTTGATAGAATTCTTGAAACGTCGAATTTTCATTTGACCTAACATAGAACCGACAGAAAGATTTTGTCACGAATTAAAAAAAAAAAGAATCACAATTTTTTTGATTATTTTACGATTAGACAATTTTAAAAAACGCGACGAAATCGTTTTCTAGGTTATGTTTGATCGAACATTTTCAATTTCGGTCATTTCGGAATGAATATTCACTGAACTGGAAATTCGGTCATTTAAAAATTCGAAAATTCTGCTAAATTAATATTCGATTAAATTAGAAACTTTTTTAATAAAAATTTGGTTAAGAAAAATTCGATACATTAAAATTTGTTTTCAAAAAAATTATGTCAAATTCTAATTCGAAAAATGAAAATTCGTCTTTAAGGCCAGGTCCAAGTGAGGCAGCGCCATCTACATTGATACTAAAATTTTGGAAAATTTTCAACAGCCTTTTCTTGAAAACAAGATGGTAAAATGCTTTTTCCTTTATGGATAATTGATTATTGGCAAGATATACACCAGCTAAAACTTTTTTTGAGTTAAAATAATAAAAAAAATTTCATGTCAACAAATTAAATATGAGCACTTTTTTCACAAAAACTGTAACAGTACTTTCTCAGAAATTACAATCAAAAATGCAATTTCCATTTGGAAAATTAATAAACGCTAAAAAATACACGACCTAAGATTTACCAATCACGAAAATAACAAAAAAAAATTTTATTAAATATT